CGGCGGCCCGGGCTTCCTTTTCTCTTGAGAGGTGCAAGCGTTCGGGTCACATTTTAAATCTTTTTCTTCACGGTTACAGAGCCAGGGCTTAGAGCTTTAAGAGACACACCCAATACCAAGAGGCTTTAAAAAAATTTAATGAGCTAGTAACACTGAACAGCAAGGACTAATCTAAAAACTGTTCCCACATCCTACTTAAAATATTTACAATTCTGTTAACCGTATATACATTGAAATCTTTGTCCCTTGTAGTCTATTTATAGATGAGTTCCTTAGGAATTATAGCTGTTATATCTGGAAGATGAACAGCACAGTATTAGTGTAGTAGCCATTGCTGGGAAGTATTTTACACTCTAGAGGACCGCTGGGCACTGGTAATCTGAGGCTACACGTGTGCAACTTAACGCACAATGCAAACAGCAGGTTCAGCTAAGAAACTTCTCTGCCTTTGAAATGTTCTGATGTGCAAGGCAGCAGGGTAAGCATACTACACTGTACAATTCACCCTATTGGAGAGAGAAAAAAAAAAACAAACCTCACACCTCTGTGCAGTACAGGGAGTCTGTAATCACAGAGACATTGACTTACATTGATCAGCATCTCCAAACAACCCGTTCACCCAAAATTCTGCTGCTCCACTGAAGGTCTACAAACCCGAAAATAAAGCAGCAATCCCACTGAAGAGCAGTTCATCCAGTAAAGCCTAATTTTATGACATCTACACAACAGAACAGCACCTCTTGGAAAAGTTCCATGGTTCAAGTAAAAGATACAAAGCAATACAACAAGTAAAACTGGATTTATAGCTCTATGTTTTAAGTCCAGTTAGCCAAATTAGATCCTTTTCAGGTGTTCCTTTATTGGGGATACCTTCACTTTTTATTTTCTGAAGCAAAGCTTCTTATCTGTATCAAAATGGGGCAGTATTACCTTTCACTGATACACACTTTCTGAACTCTCTTGTGCTACTTTATTTCCCCTTTCTGGAAAGAAACCCATTAAATTCTCTGAAAAGCTTTTCTGCCAAAGAAACTTCAGAGTCAGCCACCAAGCTCAAAACAGTTTAAGTACACTGGATAGGAAAGTCACAGACAAACAGGTAGGCAAACAGATAAACCTGAGAATGCAAGTGAAAAATTACTAGGCTAGTACTTAGTGTCAGACCAATCCAATAATTACTCAATGTTTTACAGGATGAACAGAGAAAAAGCTAATTAATCTGATTTACTAGAAAATATGAAGCTTACAGATGATACAGTCTCTGCATAATTTTAGAAAAATCATTGATTCATGGTTTATTTTACAATAATTGGATTAGTCTACAAGTTAAGGCAAACATACTAATGCATTTGCTTTTCTTTTTAAATCATAGTTATAAAGGTTACACAAAGTTCCCAAAAATTCCTAAGAAATGTTCACAATTGAAAAAAAGATTAAGTTTCTTGATATCAGTACATGGAAAAAAAACTAAGACAGTGTATACAATGCCATTATAGTAACAATATTCAAATATCTAATGGTAATATTTAGGCCATTTGAACAATGTGCTTCAAATGGTGAACTTCAGAAATTACTTACAAAGGTAAAGAAGTTTGGCAGCCGTATCATAGTATTCATAACATGAACATAATTATATTGGCTATTTTCACAAAAACAGAGCATTTGGTTTCTGAACAATGAAAGCATATAATGATTAAATAAACATGAATATGTACGTATAACAAGTATGCTGTTGCTTCATATAGTCTGGAGCTACTTTCAGGTGTTTGTTTTAATTCTTTTGAAAGAAAGAGCTTGCTTATGTGCACTTCATCAAATGTTTTCTCCAGGGAACTGTAAATGCTTATTTAAAGTCATGAAAACAAAATCCAGGAGGGCAGCCCTTGTTAGTGGGAGGACGGAACGTAGCTTATGTGTCACCATTTAACACTGCCAGGCAGCTCTGCAGCAACTGTAAGTTACCCTGTAAAAATAAAGAAAAATATGACCACATTTCTCTACTTTCTTTTACACTTGTGGCAAAAAAATGTTATTTAAAGAATAATGATACCACTGAAAGAGGACAGGTATTAAGCTTATTTTGAAATATTTATTTAAGTAAATTATACACATTAGAGTTTTTTGAATGTAGGAGCATTGTGTCATAGAACTAAACGGAGCCAACTTGAGATTCAAAAATAAGCATTTAATACCCCTTCCATGTTTCTTCACAAGTTCCTTACTAAAGATCTAGTCTGGCCACAAAAACTACTCGCTGCAGAGCACTGTCTTAGCAATGAAGGTCAAAGGTTACAAAGTTTTCAATTTTTATATAGTATTGTAGAGTAAATGTCGCTCTGGAATATTAATTTCAAACCAGAAGTATTCATATATTATACTGAATAGTGAATTCATCGATGTGTTAACCAGTCACAGCACTCAGTATCTCCTTGCTGTGACAGCCATCTAAAAATCTAGCTCTGTTCAAGGATAGACCTTGTTTGAAAGACAACAGACTGATTTACATGCTTCGCTAGGTGATTTAGTTATGAAAGTTGAGTTTAGCCAATGGAGCTGGAGCTACAGAAGTGACTATCAGAACATTAACTAAGCTTTCTCTCTAAGGCCAAGTTCCACTCTTCAAACACCTGTAGATTAGGTTTTAATCTTATTTAAAGCATTCTGACTATGATAAAAACATACAGGTTGACTTTCAGATTTCTGATTGAATTTACAGAACTGACACTTACAAAGATACCCTCATGAATTAAGCAAATGTGATCAAAAAGTAAACCCAGATTTACTTTCCAGAAAAACAAACAAACAACCTGGTATTCACAATATTCACATTGTTTTGTCCATTCATTTATGCTTAGATCACTTTAAACTACTAGCTATTCACTACTAAATAGCTGTACTAGATTTGTTCCCAAGTCTGAAATCTCTGTGTAAGCAACAATGTTAGGTTGTTGACAGGGTTAAGAGTAATTCCTATCAGGTTCAGATAAAATGCAAGAACAAAACAGTCTGAACATCCAATTATGAACATGGGAGAAACTGATTCCTTCTAAAAATTGTTTGGATCCAAAAGGAAACCTGTAAAGAAAACTTCAAACAAACAAAATAATATAATTAAACAGTACCAGTAGCTGTGATTTGTATGTCCTTGATAAACAGCCCGCACAACTACTACAAGAATTTGTAATTCTTACTTTTTCAGTTGAAAGCATTCCAAGTGACCTGTGGTAGGCAGGCAGAAGGACACTCATCCCTCAACCCAGAAAGGTAAGAAATCATAATTCTATCCCCCAGTAAGGTTGCTATAATCCAGATTAAGCAATTAATTAAAGGCTTCAAAGTAGATGATTCTCAATTGTGTCTACTGAATCCTTTTCAGTCTTCTCCAGAAGGCAGCGATTTCAGCTACAGCTTCAACAGCTTTTTGTCCTTTTATGCCTATCCTGGCTGAGGACACTCACAAGCTATTTAAAAGGCCTGTAATTCTGTGATACAAACAAATTCAATATACACGAAATACATGGGGACTTGGTGGCCCATCTTTGTAGTGTACAAGATTCATAATCTAAGGTCTGTGTTACTGAACAGCTGTATTATTAACTTTAATGAAGTAATGAATGAAAAGGAATCCTTCAGTCTGAATGATAATTGTGAACTACACGCATGTTACCTGTAAGAAAAGTGCAACAGTCACCTTTTGGCCATCCCTTTACAGCCCATCAGCAGCATGAAGTATGCTTGCAATTCACTGGCCACTATACAGCACTCTAAAGAAAAAACAGTACCACGACACCCTTTACATATCAGTCATTTCCAGACTCAGCCAGCTAGCCTACTGAAATTTTCCAAATAGGCAAATCATTCATTTTCATTAGACCAAATTTACAAAGTTCACAAGAACAACCTTATTTAAATTATAATAAACCAAGGAAAATAGAGGCTGTGAGCCATTACTCTTTCTGTCTGCAACATCAGACATACTTGACTTATATCAGCATAGCTCAAGAAAGTCCTATAAATTCAGATTCAGAAAAGTGGTTTTTGCCAACTCAGACTCCTAAGCTCTAGATATTACAGTTACTGGCAGAACCACGGTGACAGAAACATCCTTTTCAGGAAAGAAAGAGTTACTGACAAAGCATTTAACCAAATCCCTTAGCATCGGATTTTGCTTACTCCCTTCTTCTGTCACTTCTAAACTGACATCTGTTGCTAGAAATGTGACAAATTCTTTTTCTACAAAAAAACACAGAGGCAAGAGCATGTATCTTAGTATTTGTGGAAAGAGATGTTTAGATTTTTTTATTTGAAGGAGGTGGTTATCTTACTCAGTTGCAATTCATATGTCAAGACTCTAAAAGTATAGCCAAGGCTATAAATGCTTTAAGTATATGATTACAACCTTAACAGTTCCACCAACTGTCAAGCCTCCCTTCTTCAGCATTAAGGCCAACACAGGAACATCTCAAAATCCAACTGTTTAAAACACTGAATAGGCTTAAATACAGCTTTTGCACTAAATGCCTAAACATTTAATCAGGTCTTACATTAGCTGCAACTGCATGAAGTCATGAATAAACACTGAGCTAGCAAAACAGAAGCTGAACCCTACCTAGAGGGACAGTCAAGATAGAATGACCATGAGAAAAAGGAACATCAATCTGTTTAGTATAGGTACAGACCAAACAATCTAAAGTTGCAGTCTGGCAACTATTTTAAGTAAATCTAGGGTACGTGCTGCTGATAAGAAGGCAGCGCTCTCATACTCACAACCCCTCCCAGTCAAAACTGTGTTGACACAAGAGATGCTGTGAAAACAAGACTGAAAGCATATAAAAACGCAGAGCAAATTTTAGCTCCATCTTACTATGCAGCTGGACACATAACAGTGCCAACATAAGGGAAAGAAACAGTCATGCATCATCATCCTTCCTGGCAGTAGTCTGCACTCACATCAACTTAAAGCAATCTCAACCCACAGTCTGATTTTTAGCTTTTTCAAGTCCTGAGCTTCAACCGGGAAAGGATAACAGGATATTAGCAGATTAAAATAAGTATTTTATAAAGAAGTAGCATAAACATAACTGGGCAGAGAGAGTGCACTTAATATTTGTATATACGGTGCCCTTGATTTACTACAATCTTGATTTCCCCATCACATCACCCTCCAGTCTTCCAGAGACACACAACCAGATACAGCTCAGGAAACATGAGATGTGTCTTAGAACCTTCTCTCCATACTTCAGTCATTCTGACTTCTTCAGTGCAGCAAACTCTGTATTTTGGGATTTGTGTTTTTCTTTCTGCACAAAGCAAATAACTTGTAACAGTAAGCCATGCAGCAGCCTTCATGGTGGCTGAATTCCTCTGAAAGACAGCCTCTCAGGTGAGTTCCAGCATTGCTGCATCAGATTTCACCTCCACGCTTTCTGTGCCAGGCAACTCCAAGTCCAGAAGACACATGGCTAGACTGATTCAGTGGCAGATACACCTGCACAACATCTAGTCTGGAGGTACTCATTCCAGAAAAAAAAAACAAAAAACCAAAAGCGCAGCAACCAAACTGATCCATCTCTACAAGCTCTTCCAGGTAAACTGAGAACACCAAGAAGCACATATCAAGCAAGTTGAAAGCTACAGAAATTAAGCATTTTCCCCCTGCCTTCCACAGTTATTAGCTGTCAAAATTCAAGAGAATTTTACTACAAGATTTTGACTTGCACAGAGTTAATACAAGTGATTCTCTGAGGATACTTTAGAAGATAGAGACATTTTTTAAGCATTCCACTCCAAGGCATGCCAGGACTTCAGCAAGGGTCAGTTACAAGAGATGATCAAGAGTCAATGACTGAAGCAGGACAGAAGTGCTGTGGACCCACTCCCTTAAAGCATGATATGACAAATCAATAAAAACTGTTTCAAGTATGACTGTTAGGACTATTAATTTCACTAAAAAACATAACCAGTACATTCATGACTGAACACGGAGATTCCTAGGAGACTCAGGGCTGGATATAGGCAGCTGTTACACACAGAGAAGTAGGAAGGCTGAATAGTAACAAATACTATGAGATGTTTTAAGACTTTAGGGGAAATATAGCTGAATTTCCAATATAGCACATTAAAGTAAGCACTGTTCACCTGAAAAAGGAGCAAAGAGTTCCAAACCTTACTGATTACTTTACCAGCTAAATATCCCATCAAGCTGAACTTACACCTACAAAGATTAAAGAAAAAATCCCCCAAACAACCCTTTTTACAGTGCATTAGTTTTACAATGGGTTTGGCAGAATGAAGAATGACACCATCAACACTACAGAGTATATAAGCAGCAACAAGTTAACTCAGCAACACGATACAACTCTTAACTAGTCCTTTTAACATATATATTCTGAGTTAATTCAAAGCTTGGTAGTCAACACAGATTTGTGATGAGAATAAGAAATGCTAGAGTTGATTTTTAAAAGAAAGATGCCTCCTGCTAGAGGACTGTTTACTTGTCTATGAAGTCAGAGCAGCTAACCCGATTTAACCAAAAACATTAATTTCATATGGAGTAAAGGAATCAAATACATTGTGAAATTTAAGGACAGTACAGGCTCTTTTTTTTTTTCCTGAAAAGCGTATCTGCAACATTCTCCTTTTGTTAGCACTTTATAGTTTAAAGGCAAAAAGGTTAAAAAAGCATAGAGACACTGATCTGACTTCAGACAGAAGTGTGACCTCATGCTTAATAGTTGGCTTATCCTATACATCCAGTCCTGAACATCTGGATAACAGCAGAAACCACTTCCTATCTCAGTAAAATGATGAGATGAGGTTTTAAAAATAGGCAGGTATTCAAAGTCTGCAGCTAGATATATCAAACAGCTAGAGGAACATAAAACTGAAGCCAAAATTGTCTTCAAGGAAATGAGTTTTCCAAAGGCACCTCAAGCACACCAGTCCCTTGGAGATATTTCACCTATACTTTTTTTTCACCTCCCTCTTTCTGATTCAAGAAAGTTCACATCTCTGGATGATGGTTACATTCAAATTCCTCTTCCCGAATGTGAAGTGTGTATCACACAACAAATGTAGCCATTTCTGTTATTTAAGCATATAATATTTAACATCAATTGAAATACAGGCCAAAAAGGATCACAATTACCTTAGCATGCTTTAATTCCAGTTCTGCTAGTTCCACCAGATTTTTTCTGAATGCTGCAACTCTTCTTGTCTTAAAGTCTATCAGTTCTATAGAAAATAAAAATGCATTCATTAATGGTATTATTGCTAGTGCCCTCAACTGTTAACAGACTTTCCTTCAGGATGGAAGAGGTAAAGGATAAGAGAAGGCAACAGGAAAAAACAAGTTTAATCTCAGCACATTCCAGGCTCAGAGATACTGCTACACTGGTCATCGCAGTTCCCTACCTCTAGCTAAGCTTTTGCTCTTTGAAAGAAGATTGCAATGTGTATGCTTTCAAACATTTAATTCGCTTATTCCATGTGCACTGTTCTTTCAAAGCTGATATGTGGAAAATTTTAGGAAAGATACCAAGCTAAAACTAGCATGAAGAACAGAAACAGCAAGCATGCTTTATGCATATACCCTGGTGGCTAATAGGATCACTCGTTCTCCACTGTCTCATTTATAGGAATCATTAGTCAGTTTTACAGGGACAAACAACTTCTAACTGATAAAAACAGAAGAGCATGGTGTTTAAACCTTGAACAAATTTGCCCCAAAAAATGAGTCATGACTACTAACTCACAACAATCTTAGCCAAAAAAAAAACCCAAAGTTTCCAGGAAAAAGGTAACATGTAAGTAAGGTTCCTTTTCTCTAGAGCTACTGTAACTCTGCAACTTCGGTGAAATCTCATTTCATGATCTCTCCCCCTTTTCTACTACTACATGTAGTATCATCTCTGCAACAGTCTGCTGCCTTCACAGAAGAATGCATAAAACCAAAAGGGGAATTTCAACAGTACTTTAAAAGATTAGGTTTGCCTTTATTGCTAGCAATTATTAATTTTGTATCCTATCCTATACATATTTTAAGAAGTGATCAACAAATAATTTGCACCTAGACTTTTGCTCTGCCTAATGGACCTATGAGGAGCCAAAGGAAAATATCATGTGAACTTTCTAAAATAAGTAAATACTGATTAAAAGGTAATAGTTCTGCTTAAGAAACAGTACAAAAATCTATTCTTATTACTAATATCCTAAAATCTGTTCAAGTAGTAATGTAGGATCAAAAACCACTCAAATACCTTGCTTTGCCGATTCAGAAATTTTCTCAAATTTCTGACAGCATATTTGCTGAGTAGTTTCAGCTTGCAGCACATCTTTATTTTTTGCTCTTGCTTTATCCAATGCCTTATTAGCATTTTCATAATCCACTAGTGACCTAGATCTTCTATAGAGGAGATCCTATAAAAAAAAAAAAGCATAAAGGATGTATAGTTTATAAGAATCTACCCAAGGATTTCAACATATAGCAAATAATAAAACAAAAAAAAAAATCAGATTTAGTCCTTCTTGCTGTGTGTCACTTCTTACTAAATTATTTGCATTCACTTTACTTTATCCTGCAAGGAATGTCCATACTGGATCAGACATGCAATTTAGTATTGTTTGGTCTGCATCTTGTCTGACAGAGGCCAGCAACAGATGGTTTAGATGATACTCCAAAAAGCCTAAGAAAGGGCAATCATGGGAAATTTCACAGCTTCTTAGATTAGAAACAAACTATATTTAGATTATGTATTTGATATACACACAGAGCCCAAGAAACAGCAATAGCATCTTTCTGTACAACAGTTATTGCTGTGATCTTCTAACTACAGACATTTTCTGTCAAATGCTTCCTCATTCTGTCATGTTACTTAATCATCTTACATCAAATAACACTAAGAATTAAATTTTCTGTAGGTATAGTGTATCGAATTTGGCCCATGTGTTTTTGTATCAGCACTTGCAGATAATCTGGAGCATACAGTTTTAATATTAAAAAGAAGCAGAATTGCTTACAGTCTACGAGCAACAAACACACTGCAAACACATGAACAATTCACCAACAGCTCTACCACTGTTTTTAATTATGGAGGCCAAATTGTGCAGTATAAGTGGATCACACAGTTCCAATCAGTCCCAGTCAACAACTGCACTGTTATTCCTTATGCAACAGACAAACAGGTTGTACAGTTGAGTGAGGAATCACAGGCTAGACATGGCAGCATTTTAAACTATCTACTGTGTATTTCTCAAGATGATCCTTTCTCTCTCTGAGTTTGGGGTTTTTTTGTTGGCTTTTTTTTTTTTTAAAGAAACACTATTTCACTGGACAAAACCCCATAAATTCACCTTAGCAGCTTGAGATTCCCTTAGGTAATATTTCAGAAGATCAGAAAGTTTAAGATCTTCATCAGCTGATACCCGGGCCTCTATTTTCTGGAAAAACAGTAAGTAAAAGCACCAATTTAAAAACATCAAGATTTTGGGTATTCACTTGTATGATATAAATACAACATAAAAAGTACATCAGTACATGGCAGATTGTCTTTGTCACAAATGTCTGATCTTAGTTTTTGAAAGAATGAAGATGCACCATAAGCATCAGTATTAGGATTTTGTATTAAAATGTAAGCAAGAACCTACTGTGCGACCAATAATTAACAATAGCTTTCTATTTTAAACAATGCTTTCTTCCCAATTTCAATTATATGTACCATATACTAGAAAAACAGCAGAGAAACAAAAACTAATCTAGTATAAAGAGCTGCACAAGAAATTTTGTGTTGGTTTTGAGATCAAAGGAAAACAAATTTTTAAGGCACCTTTGCAGACTAGTTGTGTAACTGTATGCATTAAACGGTTCAAAAAGGCCAATAAACTTATTCGCTTGTATTTGAAACAGACATCTCTGTGAATTTAGAACAGAATATGCAAGTGCACTTTTTAAATCTTAATCTAAAAAAAAAAAATAAATTCTCAAATGCAGCATTTTAGCTCAAAGCAAGTAATTCCATTAACTTCATTTTCTTTAAAGTACATATTTATGCAGATACAACTGTCCATGTTTAGGAAACATACATTTTTTCATTTGAAAGTTTTCCCAATACATGTCATGCATCTTCTGCTCTACCAAGTCAAACAAATAAGGCAAATGAGACAAGTATACGAAAACCTGGTTAGGAGCATCAGCAATAGTATTTCTGATTACTTCAGTATTTCAAGTAACTGCAGAAACACATCTTGGTTCCAAAAAAAAAAAAAAAAAAAAAAAAAGCAGCATGACTGCCATTTTTTGGATTAAGGATTACATTTCTTCATTTCTTTTTCCATAACAACTTCCATGATACTCAGTAAGAAGTATGCAAGGCCTCTAAGCATTTTAGAGGAACAGCAGATTTACTGGTGTATTACATAGAAGACAGGAAGAGTGCCTAGAAGTGTTTAGTAGACTAAAGACTCCTAGGGATCAATCGTTTTACAAAACAGATGACTGAAATCATATACTTCATTCTCTACCACACATTGCTTAAATGCTTCATAAAGAAGCATCCATAAAACATATCAAAGTCTAGTTGACAGATGTCCTGCCACTTCCAGGGTGTACACACTGAATATATCTAAAAAGGTTTCATAGTACATACCCGTGTTTTGTCAAATAACTCTGATACCTTCAGAAAAAACCTGCACAAAGGAAACAGCTTATATTACGACATTAATTTGAACAGTCTAATTACTTTCTAGAACTCAAAATATAATCTGTGTCTGGCAATAAAGACTGTAAAGGCACTGCTTAGAATTGTAATTCACAGAACTCAGAGAACATAATAATTTCAAATTGTAGCACTTCAAACATCTGGGAATTGTATGACTTAAGAAAATGTAGGGGACAAACAAAGCATAACAGATAGATGTTTTTTACCAAAGAATAATTGCACAGCTCCTCAGGGATTCTTTGTGATTCTGTGAATCAGACCACAACCACCACCCCCCTAGTTAACAGTTCTACGCTATTATCAAGTGTCCCTCACTCAAATTTGAATGTACTTTTCTTCACACAGTAAACATGACACATGCTGTAATTGGAACTCAGGGAGGCTGAGCAACAATGTGGCACAACTTCATCACAGGAGACAATACAAAGGTTCAATGTAACAGCAGACTGAAATACAATTAAATCATACTATTTTGACAGAACATAACATGATTCCTGACAGACCCCAACAGACTACATCAAATCTCAATACTGTAATCAAAGGAATCGTTATGTAAGCTATCACATTTGAAAGTGTATCACTCTAATTCACCTAAATTAGTAAGTTAACTTTCATACTTATCTCCTACCTGTTGTCACACTAACTCTAATAAGTGTACATGTTTACAAGCATCAACATCTTTAAGCTAGTTAACCAAGTTTTACTTTCAGATACACCAAACCTCATATTCAAGCAAATCACTGAAAGATTAAAGGACAGACATCTGTACGTAGAGATCCTCTTCTATTTTCAAAGTTTTTCAAGATGTTGGTACAGGGAATACCCACAAAAATCAGTGTACTCAGACTGAGACCTGTTCTTGCTGCATGTCAAAGCACTTAAAACACTTTTTTAAAAAATGGTGAAATAGTTGTTCGGGGTATTTTTACTCTATGAGGACTTTTCCATCTCATCTGTGTAATTTTCTACAAATTGCAGAAAACAGCACTTTTTTCCCAGACAAATACTGAAGCAAAAATATTGAAGTGGCTTGTTACAGAAATTAATTACTAAACAAGAAAAATATCTTAATGGGATATAACAATAATAAATTCTGGTTTTCTTGCAACAAGAGAGCTAGTGATCGCAGCAGCTAAGATTGCTACTTAGCAAACTCCCCCATAAGTTAGTAACAATATCTTACTTGCATATATCTGTGGAGTCCTGTGTTCCCAATGCATATAATGAAGAACCAATTCTATTATAATCATCCGCCACATCTAGAAAAACAAACAAGGACTTGTTTTACTACTTTACTCCTCCTCTTTCTGAAAATTCTGAAGCTCCTCTCTTTCTTCAGGAGTAGGTGTTTTTTCTAAAAGGAACATGCTCTAACACAAAAGCAGAAATAAAATTTCAATTATGTCACTTATAAAGGATAGCTTCACACAGTAAATGTGGCACTTTCACCAAAACATGAAGTCTGTAATTTACCTAATAAGATTCAATATACAAAAGACTCAGTCTTCATACAACAGCAAGAGAAGCATCTGAAGAGCTCAGTAAATTCTCAGTTTAATGTCTCATTCAGTATTCACTTTAGAGACCTTATCAATGAAGATTCATAAATGTTTTGTAGCCTGGTTTTGTGTGAATTATATTATTGTGGCCTGATTTTGTGTGAACTGTATTACTGCAGATAGCAAAGACAGCATCTGTGAATCAGACACAGACATCAAAAAAGTAGAGAGAATCTAGTAGTTTAGTTTTGATTTATCTAGGCTCAAAACCTTAAAAATCAAGGGCAACAAGGTCAACATTTTTCTGAGCTTCTCAAAACATAGTAATCCTAAACCAAACACAGTAGTCCTAAACCAAAGATTTTCCATTTTCTCAAATAAATGCACTGCACTTGAGAAGACTGTCTAGAGCTTCCAGAAATTAGCTTGCACTCAGCTATTGATTTCTCTTCCAGTGGAAAATCTCACCTCAGTGAGAAAAGGGGTCCTGCAAACCAAGCTACTGAATGTACACACTCCAGTCTCCATTCTAAAAGGCTGAAAAATGGAAATCTGACTTCTTGGTCTAGAACTAACCGCCCAAATACGATTTGCAATGCTCAGTGTGCCAAGCAACTGCACTCTGACCAATGCAAGCTGGTCTAACCAAGAGCAACTTCATTCAGAGTAAAATCACATATACTGCTATATTAGCCACCTTAATAATTTTATTTTTGAAGTCTGATTCTTAGTCTTTAAAGTATAAAAATGTGTTTCTCTTCAAAGGGACAGCATGAAGAACCAAGATATCTTCAGTGTTGCATCAAGCTGTTCTTAGCTCCATCTGGCCTACTACAGCAAAGGCTAAACTCTGAAAGTCAGATTAAACTTCTCCAGACTACCCAAAGACTATACCTGGAAAAATTAATTCACTTTTCACATGCAAAAAGAAAACTAAAAATTACTGCTCCTCACAAACCATTTTGGTACACTTTAACTAGTACTATTTTCACCCTGGAAAAAAAAACACCTCACTTTTATGTGATCTTGTCATTTTATCAGATTTGGCAGAGGCATCTTTGACTCGGTTGTGATATTCTACAAGGAATGTTCTTTCATGTTCAAAGAAGTCATCAACATCCTACAAAAAACAAGAACAATTTAAAAAACAGGATTTCACTCACTCTGTACAGGGCAACTGCAGACCAAGTTTGCATGTATTGCAATTGCTGACATGAAATGCAATCTATTTTTATTGTCTAAAATACCACTTACATAAACCAAATTCTTCTTCACTCATTTTATCATGACCTGAAGCTTTATTAAGAATTTATTAAGATTTTGTTACAAGTATCTTAAAGGTCTAAATAACTAAACCTGAAGCAAAGGAAGTAATTTCACTACTAACCACAACGTTGGTGACAGAAAAATAGAATAAATGTCAAGTACGTAATAAAAGGACATCGACCTAGAAAAAGGGGAGGGGGAAGAAAGACAGCCAGTTGCACAGAAGCTGCAGTCACAACAGGGACGGTATGAACTCCTAGCTCAGGAACACTGATCTTGATGACAGATTTCTTTCAAGTTGGTAAATTTTAGTATTTTCTGTATTACAATTTGAGATAGTTGTTTATATTTGTTTTTTAAACCTCTCTAAAATAGCACAGATGCTCAATATCATGGAATAGCCTACAACATGGGCTTCGAACAATGTGCTTATGAAAACCACTGGTTATTTGGACTTTATATTTTTCTCCAAGTCATAATTCATCTGTGGTTACATCCACTTTCCAGCAGTTTCAAAACTCAAGATTTTACAACTAGGAACTTTAGCTCGACTAATTTGGTTCCAGTAGAAAGAAAGGAGATCAAAATTATCTTCTGGAGTATTTATGCTTTTTAATTAAAGTGATTTAATTTAAATGAAAATTAAATGGAATTATCACCTTTTTTTCAGTCTCAGTTACATTCTTGCATCTACTGGGAAAAACAGTATCACCTCTACTGCTGCTCTTAGCTTTGAAACAGTAGAAGGATGTTACAAGGCTAGTAAAATTAAGTGTTAGTAACTTCTGAGCTGCAGTTGTCAAAGCTAGTACACCTTTCCACTATATAAAATGACAGGCCAGAATAAAAAATGGATTATCAGTTATCAATGGATCAAAAAAATGCTTAATTTCATAAAATAGTGGAAAGCTCTCTTTCACAGAAGCAATCAGACAGCTCTTGGTTATCCTGCATCCAGGGCCATAGGTTCCTTCCCATTACCTGCCTCTAATTCTTAAGTTAAATACTGCTACAAAAAGCCCTTTTTTTGTAGCTATGTAAAATTCTCTTTGTTAAAAAAGGGGACAACAATGTTAATACATTTTAAATCCTTATATGTTAAGCAGTAGTCACCTTTACTCCTGAAACAATGACACCATCTGCTGATTTAACCATATTTTTAAAGAAGTCTTCAAGTTTCTCTTTCTTATTCTTCCCACGAACACTCAGCTGAAAAACAAATTCATTACCAAGTTAGTTCACTTTCTGGAGGCAACAAAAGCACTTTTTTTTTTTTAAACCACACCCTCTTCCTGTCTATTTAAATTTGCCCAGTTTAAGTACTGAGTTCCCGAACCAGTAAGCGTTTCTACATCAAGCAGCAAGAGGATCCTCTGTAACATATTTTGAAATTAAGCATGTACTCAGTTGAGCCAATTTTTGTAATGATTTCTTCAACATTCAGTGCTGACCACTGCAATTTAAAAAAGCAACTAAAAACTGTTTGCAGCATGAGCAACCACTAACTTCAAAACCAAAGAGTTATTATGAATCCAGACAGTCCTACACATAAACTTAAAATTAAATAGCAACTCAGTATGTAACGTGGATTGCCACACTAGTCCAATATCTAGAAAAAAAAAATTCACCTACATTATTAACAAAAAGGCTTTAGTTATTAGAACATTCCATTAGAAATTCTCTCTAGTTCTGCTAGCAACACAATTTAAACCACAGTTCCAAATTCTATCTTTGTTACATCATCCTTCCTGGCAAAAAAAAATTTCAGTCAAAGAGTGGACAAGTATAACATCATGTGAAATCACCACCAAAAGCTAATCTTTTTAATCCAAAACATATTGGATATTATTTCCATTAATATTTTTGATGCTGAGGCTAGAGCACATAGTGCATATGGTTCCCCAGGTGGCAGGAAAATTAACTCCTACAGATTAAATGAATTTCTAACTTTTACAATATAAGTATGCCTGGTATGAAGGAATTGATGCAATTTGCTCCAGGAGGTAAAGCTCTCTTAATCAACTTTCCATCCCACCATAAAAGTACATCTTGATTTCCCTTGCCAGCGATTCCGTTTTCAATACTCACATCCTGATTGTATTCCAAGAAAACATGGAAATTTAAATCCTTTCTCAAAATAGGATGTGCTGCCACGCGACACAAAAACACTTCATGCATTGCAACTGTCTTCTTGAATATTGCCAAATACTCACTGAAAACAAGAAACAAGACAGACATAAGAATTTCACATGAAGCAATTAAGTCTGAGATAAGCCTAGTGAGCAGCTTTAAGACATCCTCGGTAAGGATACAAAATTATAAATTGATATAGTAGAAGTTATCACTCCAATATTTGATATATATATAAATAAACAGTACAATGTTAATACTAGGGTGAAAGGTGAAGCCCTAACATATTACAGAGAGACTTTTAATGAAGACTTAACAAATAAATAATAATTTTTAAGGCTAGCTAACACAGATTGGTTTGCTGAAAGTGTAACTTCATTCAATTGTCCTTTCCCCAACTCCCCAAAAATCAAGATATTGAGATACAGACTATGTATCTGATGTGCAAATTCCTTCCTCCCCATCTCCATCCCCTTGCCTATTTGCACCCTCCTTACTTATTTAAATGTCCATGTTGTTTTGTTAGCTGTTTAGATAGCAGTCTTTAATTCCGTGTTAAAGCACCTAACCTTTTGGGGCTGAAGCTTATATGGATGTCTTGCTTCATAGTGGTTATAAAAGTGAAATTAAGTGCTGTATTTGCTAGGTACAACAAAAAAAAATCAAGTTTAACCATGACAATCTCATAGTTGCCCACTTTAGCCAACTCAACTTTAAAGCAATTACTCATTTGTGATTTAATTAAAAGGAAGGCATTCTTATCAACACAAGTTTGCTAGAATTCATTTTCCTTTGCAAGTTCAATAAGACATAACTTGTCTAGATATGAGGAAGGGGCTCTTTTCCCCATTCCAAGGTCAAACAGTGACATGATCATCAACACTTTTGCTTCCACTATGTGCAAGGAGGTTAAGATTTACATACCAGCAAACCAGCAGGGCCAGTGTTGGGAGATGTTTGATCACAGTGAGAGTAGTAGTCATTCAGTGAAGACAAAAAAGGAGGATGCAGAGGATGGAGGTGGCAGTAGAAGAAACCCAAAGTTTTCTGTGTTATCCAACCCCTAACCAGACCACAAGAGAATCATGATCAGGGCCGCTGGAAAACCACAGATTCTTTAAAATCTATAGTGTTTTGCTAATTTCCAGTTTTCTGCATATGAAGTGTATATCTACTCTGCTATAAATTATGTTGTACGTAACACCAATACAGAGCTTTTTAAGACATTTGCTCACAGCAGCTGGAGTTCGGAGAGAAAGCAGCAGTTCTAAGAGTTCTATGTACTTTTCTTGCCAATTCAGAGCTCTTGATAGAAGCAGTCTAGAAGCAGCATAAATATACACTTGAAAACTGAAACCAATGACAGGAAAAAGATCAAAGAAGTGAATGCATGATAAGGAAAGTGGATGAAGCAAGGAGAAACTTCACTGTTTAATTCAATATGGAACCAAAATCCTTAGAGCAGATATTTCAATACACATTAAATTCATTTGTAAAAGAAAATACTTTTTTTCAGGAAGTATATTCTCCTTGTGAAAAAAAAAAAAAAGGGAGTGTCAAAAAAGTATTTTCAAGTAATCTCCAGGGTAATTTCGAGTAATTTCTCAGGGAACACAAGGTTGGCATCTCTGTTTACAGTACCAACCACATGCAAAAAAATCCCTAATTCAATCACTACATGTATAAACCTTAAATCATTATGCTTATAAAATGTGGAATCCCAGAACTAAAAACGTTACAGGTTACCTCCTCCCTTTGCAGGTGTTCTGTGAAAAAAAGGATCTAACTAGTTTTTTCCTTTTTAAAAAAATGCTCAAGAACAAACTGGGTTGTTTTTTTTTCCTGTTTCAAATCTTCCATGAAATTCTTTCTACAATTTTCCTAATGGCTCTGATCATGATGACTAAGATAACCCTGGTTATGTAGCAACTGAATTCTCAAGCCTATATCTCACAGAGAACAAAACATGGGACAGAAAACAGCATTAAAAGGTGAGGGTTATATTAAAAAAACCACAAAAACCAAAAAGTAGTAATCAAGTCTACGTACGCCTCCAGTTCTTGTTTCATCTTGGTGAATTCTTCTTTAGTCATTGATCCTTCCCCTTCTCCAAGTTTCTGCAATTTCTCCCTTGAGGCATCAAAGTCAGGCCTGGGTGGTGCTGGTGGAATCTGGAATTCAATCAAACTTTTTTTAATTGCTCATCTTCTCAGTCAAACAACATTCATTCAGTACAGGAACTGTAGATTGCCTGCAGCTTTTTAATATATGGCTCTCTTTCATCATTCATTACAGCATTTATGGATAAAGGCTCCCATTCATGAGTTAGACACTCTGCAATACTATGCCAATTTTCCTTGAAGATTACTAAAGTATTAAATAATGGCCTAAGTAGTTTAATACAACAGAAACCAAATAATACCTAGCTTTCCCATGACAATGAATTAAAACTTTAAATTATTATTTTATAATTAGTTTTGTTTTAGCTTATTTGGTAAGGGTTGTTTCTTGTTTAAAGAAAATAATTCCACAAATTTTTTCACACCATCCATTTACAACTCTCCAAACCTTTAAACCAAAAAAAGTATTCCATATTGTTTGTAGGTACTAGTTATTTCTTGCAGCACTGCTGACATTAAAGATATATCTGTTGATATAACAAAGCACACAGTAAACAAGTCTCTAGATTAATCTCCTAATATAGAATATTAAACACTGAAATAGAAACCCTGCAGTCAAACTAATCCTGAATTGCTACCAGTAAAAGGACAGAGAACAAAGATAAACTATCCTTAAATTTTAGTTCACCAATACTTGCCCACTACATTCATTCATTACAAAAAATAAAAGTCTAGTGTCTATGCAGTCAGCCATCTGAGACTAGTTACTACCACATCGAAGGTCTAGTCACTTCGAATAGCTTTTCTGACTAAAAAAAGACTTAGCTCAAGAATGGTATGACACATCACAGATTATATTCATCATAATGTACCCACTACTCAATGAGAAATATATGTTTGCCTTCTGAATCAACAGACACCCCCCCAACCACAAAATGAATACCTACCTTTCACACAAAGATGACAAATATTCCTATTTGTAATTAAGGTATGAACAGCAGCACCCATTTTTAATAGGGAGTATCATAATGTGACTATTTGGGGACCTGTGTTCCCCAGAGGCCTGAAATAAACTTAGAACGTAAGTTGTTAAGTCATATGTTAAGGTTCTCTAAGTCTGGATGGTATTTGTGTTGGTTTTTTTCCCTCCAACTGATTTATGGTAAAATGACTCTGAACTTCAGAACAAAAACTGGAAAAGTCTAATTACTACAGCTCAGTTACTGCACTCTGCCATTCCAGCTAAAACAAAGGCAACATGAAACTTAGTAACTAAGTTAAACATTAGCTTGTAAAAACAATATCACCAAGTTATACAGTTCACCTATCTCCCACACTTTTAACAGGGTGGACTAAAAATACACTTGGGTACAGATTAAATTACTCACTCCTTAGGAGTGAAAGGCAGGAAGGTACGACAACTGCAGTAACTTTCCTCCAAGCTTGCTTCAACCATTAATTTTGTGTAGTTGCATAAAATGAAGTATTAGAGCATCTAATCTGATTTTAGGAGGAACAAAGATCTGCCATTTTCATTGCATTTAAAAGCAGTCACAAGTATTTTTGATACAGTCCACATAAAAATGCACATAAACAAAAAGAACTGTAATACTTACAATATAACCAGCATAGTCCTCGTTCTCAACAAAGGAATCATGAAGCCAAATAAACTCTTCATGTTGTCGGACAACAGAAAATTCATTTTGTTTGAAATTTGGTAAGGAACTCTAGAAGGGGAAAAGGAGGAAGAATTATAGGGGAAAAAAAAAACAACCCCCACCCCTCCCAAAAAACCCCAAAACGCTTTCATTACTATATGAAAAACACCTTGAAAGAACAAGGAAAATACCCCTGTAAAAACAATCCAATCATCCAAGTAAGGATTTTGGAAAAAAAAAAAAAAAAAAAAAAAAAAAAAAAATAAATTTGAGAGCAATAATTACCACTGTCTTAATTAATGCAGCAATCAATTGCAATGGGTTGCCCAAAGAGGCTGTGAAGTCTCCACCCTTGGAGATATTCAAAACCCAAACAGACAAGTCCTGAGCAGTGCACTCTGGTTCGCCCTGATTTAAAGGTGGGAGTGAAGGATGAGATGGGAACAAATGATCTCCATACATTTTTTTCAACCTCAACTATTCTATGACTCTACAATCAATAAACATTCAAATCTAAAAAAAAGAAAAGCCACAAACAACCAGTAACTAAAAATTATCCTTGAATGTAATTCCATAATGAAATTTTATTTTTAGATTCTGCAACTATGGCTAATCTAATAAAAAACTATACTGAAGAATATTGAGGTATATCAGAGATTCTACCTGCAAATAGGCCAATTAATAAGCATGGGAATGGCATGACATCAATACAAAAAAATGAACATTACTCTCTTCTAAATACTTTTTTAACCTCTTAACTTTTTAGCAATTTTTTTCTTAAGCACTGCAGCTACAGTCTCTTAAATGTACGATAAAGCTACTTTCTCATTTCCTTTGGATTGTGTTACACTAGTTTCAATAAACAGTTTAAGCAAACTTTCTTTTCTATATACTTAAGAAAATGTCCAGCGTACAAACCCAGGCTTTTACCTTTGTATGGACAGTGAATTTCACTTTGTCTCTCTCACTAAGTGCATCTGAGATATCCACTTGCAGAGCAGCATCAGTCTGGAGATCCACATTTATTGCTCTAAGCTAAACAAAGAAAAATCTAATTAGCTTAAATTAAAAAAATACTAATTATATTTCCCTTGTTCTTCCCTTGAGAAGAACCCTGATCCTGAAATGCTGAACATCCTTAAAAGACTGAAGACAGATTACAAAACAACCCAACATTAAAGGATTATTTCCAGTGGAAAAATAAATTCCAATAGAACTCCCTATGGCACACATGACCATACAAATAATTTCCTTTACAGTACTCCTTGATAGCACACTGTTTTAATTTCTGTGTATTGTTAACTGCTAGTAATCCAGATGGTCAAGACAAAGTACATTTACAGACAGCATCAAGTTCAGTATGTTTTTCTCTTCATTCCCCCAATTTGACAACCTGCTGTAAGTAAATGTACTTGTAAAGGTAATTATAAAGGTACCAACAGTTGGAAAGGTACTTTTAAGGAGAAAAGTGGGCCTATATTTCAAAGAAGCAAGACTATTAAAGACCTGGGTTACTCACGGTGTCTTACAATATTCTTTTGTTGAACGTTTCCCATGATATACTGAAAAAACATTAAAAAAAAAAAATCCTGAATTTTGCAGAGCTAAGTCTCCTTGGAAATATTTTTCTGGGAAAAAACCAAACACACACAACAAAACCAAACCCAAGATTTTAATCTCTTCGAAATCAGCATGTGAAATGGCTAAAGTGCAAGGAATTTGCATTTTTTTTTCCACAATACGTGAAACCTGAACTCTCTCACAAAATAATTCCAAGTCACATTGAAAAGAAAATGAGACAACAATCAAATATAGAGAAACTGGAAGATTATTGGAGCACTGCAATGGTTGGCGGTCACTGGACCAAAGGCTTCAACAGTACTTAGTGAAATGGTCCTCATCTAAACCTCAGCTGGAAATTTAAGTCCCCTCGTCCTTGCAGCTCTAGAGCAATTTGTCCCATGACAATTTCATCATCACAATCAACAGATATTCAGAATATTTCTACAAGTAATAAGGCTAACTCTGACTCTCAAAAAATATTTCAATGTCATGCTCACGAGGCTTACTTTTACTGAGACACTGTGTTTTCTTTGAGGCTGTGTTTTTTCTAGAAATATCATATTCTACAGTATAAAAATGCTTTGTCATACAAAGATACAGATTTTTTTCCTGCAAAATTTTTCAGGACTGCATTTTGAAACCTGTACTCAAGTACAAAAATGCTTTAAGTATCAGCAACACACAGTACAAAGGTTATACATGAGCAGATTTCGAAGGTAACACTGCAAGGCACTGGAACAGCACTAGGAGAGAATCATCAATTGACACATCTTGTTTTCCATGAGTTATCTTTATTTTAAATCAGTGGTCAGCTCCCACTCTAGATTCCCTGTTAACCTCAATGCACAGACAACTCTGCTGCTTATGTAGCAGCAACCAGACTAATAGAATTAGTCTACTAAAGTAAACCAAAATCACAGAGTCTAGCATATTCTGCTCGGCTAGCAAAATATAACAGTTCAATAGCTTTAAAAAATTTAGTAATAGCTTTTCCTTACACCATAGTTACAAATCATGAGAACCACTGCACGGTAACGTATTCACACACATAGCTTTTTGTTTTATTTTCCCAAGGTTTAGGGGGTCACTGCCTCACACAAAGGCATATTATCATGCAACAATCCACTGCAGATCACTTCTCAGAGGCAGAATCTCCTAGCTCCTACTGAGTTTTCAATGTGCTTAACATCTAATTTAGGAAAGAAAAACATAATCTGACATACCAATGTCTGCCTTATGTCATGACACCACATTTTTCAGCTTGTAAAAAAAGGTTTTAGTGGTCTGAGGTACTGTTTGTTTTTCTCTGGTCCCCCAGAATACATTAGCAAACAATCTCAGCAAATTATCTGGATTATCCAAACAGTATTTTTGCAGATTTTCACATGTCACAAAAATTTATTCTAAAATGCTTTTTTTCCCCCCCTTTTTAAAAAGTGCTACAATACAAAATTTAAGATTCAGTATAACAGCTGCTCAAGTTTGTCATTACTGTGTATGCAGACTCCTAGTGCAGCTCACCCTGGCTATATGCACTATTCACAACTTTAGAAATAAGATGCTTATCTGTGCTGAGAAAACTAAGAACTACCTAAACATGACAACTTCACTCATGACAATCAACTGTAAAGGACTATTTGTTTGATTTATGCTGAGTTAAGTTTGTAACAGTTTTGAAAAGTTTAATCATATGTTAAATTATGCTTTGTAGCCTGACTGCCAACAGGGAACATTTTCATCTGCAATGGTAATGAAGCATTTATGAAAGGTGTCAAAGACAATTAAAAAGTTGAAGGACTTCAAATGCATTCGTGTGACACAGTGGTTCACATTGCATTACTGGGAATTAAATTAATAAACATCACACAACAAACTTAAGCAATCTCTTCATCACTACATTGAAAAGAAAACTGTCACCAATGGATGGTTTTCTAATCATGAAGGAGTAGAAAATTTAAAAAATGTTACAAAACCCAATTTGGATGAAAAGTGTGATTTGGATGAAAATGGAAAGTACCTTAAATTCTGGAACAAGCTGAGGTGGGATACAGTCCCTTTGTATCTTGCCCCTCCCCCATCTAATATATACAACATAGCCCAATAATTTTATGCTTAGTTACATACTCTATGCCCATGCTGAACAACATGCAAAACAAAAGCTAACTTAATTTAGCTGATTTACAGTTCCCTATGATAGACCAAGAAAGTCCCTGTTTTATTCAAAGGGTCTAGGAAATACCAGAAGCCAAAACAGCGCTAAGCAATGTTAGAGCACTAAAAGAGAATACAACACAAGGGAAGGATTTAGCACCTAAACTCTTGCTGAAGGATCAATTATACTTCAAATAGCAATGGAAGGAAGCTGGTGGAGACAAGGGAAACTGCCAAACCTTACAATCCTAGGTAATGTCATCTGTTAACAACAGTTAACTTCTATACTCTAAACTTTCAAAAATGTTAAGGAGAAAAAGGACCCTTTCTTCAGGGAGTTCTTTACAGGGAGATAAATACACAGAGCAAGGCAAACAAACCATACTTTTACAGCAAAAGATTACAAAGTGTCATCGCAGCATTAAGTTTCTAGCAGACCTGCTCTAAGGGATAGCTTATTTCTCCTAAATGAGCAGACAAGAGCATTAGCCAAATCGGCAAAAGTTTATGTAGATACAAAATACACAAGACAGTACTAATAGAGCAATACTGTATGTAGCACCTTTCAAAGCATGTATTGTTTATGTTAAGGGAAGGAAAAAAAACAATAGGAACTGAGTTACTCTAAGCGAACTCATTAGTATCTTCCTAAGTGAGATTTAGAAAAGCAATTCCCACAAGTTCATTTTATGCAGACCATTTATAATAAGTTCCCTCTACAGACCACCCACTGCTACTTCCTCAATGATGATTCTCAGTGCTGTTTTATAATTCTCCGGAAAAGGCTCCATACGGTATAAATACAACTGTTTGAGAATTACTGTTCTGTGTAGCACCAGCGTAATTTCCAGTCCTCTTTTCATCCCATCACCCCCACGTTAAACTTAACACAACTGTAGCTGACGAGCACGATTCTGAAGAGTTAAAAGTACAGTTGTCATAGCAATATCTGACTTCTAGAGAGGAAAGAGCACTGACTTTCAAAACTAAAAGCTCAATTACTCTAACCAGAAATTGCCATCCATGCTTTCAAATAAAGGCTTGACCTATTCGGTTTTTAATCGCAAACAGAGGAAAGCAACAAACCAGAACCATGGAAACACTTTATGAAAAGCTGTTTATTTTTTACTACTGCTACTGAGAAAAAAAAAGTTATAAAGATTAAAGGACAGAAAATCCATTTATGTATGAACAGACTGTCAGTATTGCTTTTGATTAGATTTTCTGTATCACAATCAAAACCAGGCAGATAACCTGTGTTTTAACCCCAGGGATTTACACAGCAGTGAAAAAATTAAAACCTGGGAGGAGAAGGACACTGTTCTGGTTTAATTCCTCAGTGATGAATGAAGATGGGGGAGGGGGGGGAAAAAAAAAAAATAAAGGACTGCACTTGGCCTACTGGGATGATGTAAGTTGTCTAACAGCACAAACAAGGCTGCTAAGAGATTTCTTAAGGCTTCTAAATTACCTCGTGAACTCTGACTACCTGTAGCCTTAAAGGGAAAACTAATAACCAACCAACCAAGTTTCACATGTGATCAGATCTGCATTGTTATGTTCCACCTGCACCTTCAGACAAAGACGACTTAACTGTGCACTTCAATGCATGTTCCTAAACACCAGGGACAATCTGTGTAAAATATAACTCCATAATTAAAAAGTTCTTCAGTCCTTGTTCTGAAGACACTCAAAGGACAACAATCTCCACCTTCTCTCTTTTTTTTTTAATCCAGTACTCTTACTAAAGTGGATGTATAACTAAAGGCAAAAGTTCTACAGCAGCCAGAATCAGTCTAAAACAATATTATAATTCCTTTTTTAATTTCTGGTCATAAACTGGAACATAAAATGCACCAAATTCCTACCACATGCATACAGTCAAAAATCGCTTGGTACTTAATATTACATTTGACACTTGAGTATGGCATGCATGATAAAAAGGTATACCAACACAGTGTTTTTCAGACTTTGTATTTTTAGTAATATCCTGGATGTAGCCACTTTAATAACCAGCAACAGCCAAGGCAAACTAAGTGACTGAGTAACAGCATTCCTACCTAGTTCAGAGTCAGTCTTCCTCAAGATACTAACTGAGAGGGGTAATCAGTCTGAATAAATTATACTAGATTACTTGATTTGTTGCTTAAGTGAGGCAGAGAAGTTAAAGAAAGATGGATGCAGTAGTTAGAAGAGAAATGAAGGCCAGAAACAGCAGGGCAGAGGAAACAGATTTCTCAGTAAGAAACATAATCATGGCATCCTGTCCCAACAACAGAACTTCTTTTCAATAAAGAGTTTATTATGCAGTGTTCGCCTGT